TTCATGGCTTGTCTTTCATCTCCACTGGCGATATACAGCAGCGGGTGAATTTTAAACAAAGTGTTACGGCAGAAGAAAACCTCGCCAGATACTAGCTTTCTAGGCTACTAGCTTACTAGTTTTCTCGCCGGTCCCAAGCCCGGGTAAAGAGGGAGGGTTGGGGCGTGGTGCTAGCAACTCCACCCCTGTAAAACAACCAAATCGCTACAGAAACTTCAACGAATAAATATATTAAAAATTCTAAAAACATAAGCAATAGCCTTACTTTTCGCTGGAATCGGGGAAGTGAAATGACGCAGGCTGGTGAAAGCCTTCGGGAAGCCAGTCAGCCGATGTGCCTTCTTTCGATGAAAGCAAAAGTAAGGATGGGTACCTGGAATGTTCGTACAATGTACGAAACTGGAAAGGCTGCCCAGATAGCCGCTGAAATGAGAAGGTACAGAATAGAAGTGTTGGGAATCTGCGAGAGCAGATGGAACGGAACTGGAAGGTGCCAACTACCTACTGGAGAGAGAGAAATCTGTTCCGGCCACCCAGAGGACAACCATGAGCACACCGAGGGAGTGGCCATCATGATGTCACCAACAGCAACCAAAGCTCTCATGCAGTGGGAACCAATCTCCTCCAGGATAATGACAGCCAGGTTCAACTCAAAAGGAAGGAAAGTTACAGTCATTCAATGCTATGCGCCTACAAACGTCTCAGAACAAGAGAAGAAGGAGGCGTTCTACAGACAACTACAAGCAATAATGGACAACGTCCCAAATGGCGATATCAAAATCCTGATGGGCGACATGAATGCGAAGCTGGGAGGAGACAACACAGGAAGAGAACTCACCATGGGTCGTGAGGCCCTCGGCGAAATGAACGACAATGGTGAACTCTTCTCAGACTTCTGCGCCTTCAATGATTTGGTGATTGGTGGTAGTGTGTTCAAACACAAGGATATACACAAGACGACATGGATTTCACCAGATGGAAACACCAAGAACCAAATAGACTTCATCTCAATTTCAAGAAAGTGGAGACGGAGCCTACTGGACACAAGGTCAAGGAGAGGAGCAGATGTGGGTTCAGACCACTATCTAGTACAAGGGACTTTCAAGGTGAAACTAAAAGCCTCGAGGATAGCTGGGGATAGGCCACAATGCAAGTTCAACACTCAATTACTGAAGGACACAACCACAAAAGACACTTTCACTGCAACTGTCAGAGCAAAGCAGGAAACACTACGCGACATCACTGAAGAATCATGCGTGGAAGAACATTGGAAGTCTCTGAAGGCGATTCTCAACGAAACGTGTTCAACGGTTCTAGGAAGAAAGAAGAGACAAGACAAGGAATGGCTCTCAACGGACACTTGGAAATTAATAGAAGAGAGGAGAATGGTGAAAGAGAAAATGATTCAATGCAAGGACGGACAGGAGAAGGAGACGCTGAGCTCAACTTACACAGCTCTGGACAAAGAAGTGAAGAAGAGTGCTAGGAAGGACAAAAGACGATTCTACGACAACCTGGCCACTGAAGCTGAGAAGGCAGCAGGCAAAAGGGACCTGAGGACACTATATCAGATAACCAAATCTCTATCCGGGAAGAGATCAACACAAGCGAAACCTATAAAAGACAGCCAAGGGAAGCCCATTACCAAGGAAGAAAAACAGATTAAACAATGGGCGGATCACTTCAAAGGACTCTTGAACCGACCATCACCTGCAACCCGTCCAGAAATACCAACAACAGCGCGCACACAACTGCAAGTTGACACCAATCCTCCAACGAGAGCTGAAGTCTTGAACGCAATCAAGCTTCTGAAAGCTGGAAAAGCAGCCGGACCAGATGGAATACCCCCTGAAGCACTGAAAGCAGACCCAGAGACTACAGCAGACATGCTGACTCCATTATTGCAAAAGGTCTGGAAGGAGGGAAAGGTGCCTACTGACTGGAGGAAAGGTTACCTCGTGAAACTACCAAAGAAGGGCGACTTAGGCCTCACTCTGCAAGAACTGGCGAGGAATCATGCTCCTATCGACGCCAAGTAAAATCCTGAGTCGCATCATCCTGGAGAGATTAAAGGACGCACTGGAGACAGAACTCCGACCAGAACAAGCTGGATTCAGGAAAGGCAAATCATGTACTGACCAAATTGCAACTCTACGCATCATCATCACAGAACAAAGCATGGAATGGCGATCAAACCTCTACCTCAACTTTATAGACTTTGAGAAGGCCTTCGACAGCGTTGATCGTGAAGTAATTTGGAAATTACTCGAGTACTATGGCGTACCCCAAATATTCATCAACCTTATTCAACAGCTGTACGACAACGGCACCTGGCAAGTGATCCACAACGGAAGACTCAGCGAGGCGTTTGGAGTAAACACAGGAGTCAGACAAGGGTGCTTACTATCACCAATGATATTCCTAATTGTGGTGGACTGGATTATGCGTCAGACAGTGGGAAACGAGAAGACAGGAATATCCTGGACCGACGTGAAGAACCTAGAAGACCTGGATTTCGCCGTGGATGATTTATGTTTGATGTCACACAAAATCGAAGACTTACAAGCGAAAACCGACAAACTGGTCGAAGAAGCAGCCGGCGAAGACAGGACTCCAGGTAAACATAGACAAGACGGAGGTTATGAAAATAACCAACCAACAACAACAACAGCAACAGCATCCAACGTCAATCACCATCAACGGGAGGGATTTGAAAGAGGTTACTTCATTCATTCACTTATCTAGGGAGCATTGTCTCAACTACAGGAGGAGAGGACGAGAATGTCAAATCGAGCGAGATTTGGAAAGGCGAGAAACACATTCATCAACCTGAAATCAATCTGGAAATCTTCGTTACCCAGCATCAACAACAAAATTCAGTCGAATTTTCAATACAAACGTAAAGTCAGTCAGTTCTTCTATACGGATCAGAAACTTAGCGGGCGGTCACAAAAAATATTTCCAACAGCCTGTTGCAGTCCTTTATCAACAACTGTCTTTGCCCTTTACTGAAAATCAGATGGCCGGGCCGGAAAGAATCACCAACAAGAAACTATGGGAACAAACAAAGCAAGAACCAATCGCCCAATAAATATGCAGGAGAAAATGGAGATGGATCGGACACTCGCTGAGGAGACCGCTGGATGACATCTCGCGTCAAGCCCTCGAGTGGAACCCGAAAGGGAAGCGGTGTGTGGGACTTCAGTGCAAGGGTGGCATGGAGGAGATCGTGTGAAGAGGAGTTGAAAGAATATGGACTAACATGGATGCAGGCGAAAAGTACAGCAGAAGACAGAAGCAAATGGAGACGTGCAGTTGAAGTCCTATGTTCCACTAGGAACCCAAGGGAGCAATAATAAAAAATAATACGGCAGAAAATGTCTTTAGCTATTATTTTTCCAGGTTTTGAGGCCAGTAATTATACATCTCATCCAACAGTTGTACGACAATGCTGCATGCCAAGTAATCCACAACGAGAAATTTACGGAATCCTTCGAAGTGAGGACGGGAGTAAGACAAGCTGGCTGCCTACTATCACCAATGATTTTCCTGATTGCAGTAGATTGGATAATGTGACGAACAGTGAGAAATGAGGAAACAGGCATAAAATGGACTCACACAAAATACTTGGAGGATCTGGACTTCACCGGTGATATTTGTCTGATTTCACACAAACTGGAAGATATTCAAGTGAAAAGCAACAAGTTGGCGATAGAAGAAGCATCCAAAGAAGATAAAAATTTCAGGGGAACATAGAGAAAATAGAAAGAGGTGATGAAGATTCCTGGCCAACAGCAACATCAACGGCAGACAACAATCAACCAGCATGATTGGGAGGATTCTGAAAGATGTAACCTCCTTTATCTAACTACCTGGGGAACATGATTTCAACTACATGCGGAACTTACGAGGATTGGCATAGGAATTCAAGCTTTCATTAGTCTTAATTCTCTGTGGAAATCGACAGCACTTGGCATGAAAATGAAAATAAGATCCGGATTTTCAACTTTAATATGAAGTCGGTGCTACAAACTATACGGATCAGGGACTTGGCGCGTCATAAAGAGCATCTGAAACAAACTACAGACCTTCATCAACAACTGTCTTCGCTCAATAGTACTCAAGATCAGATGGCCGGCCAGAAATGTTCAGAAACAGGGATATCTGGCAATGAGCGAACCAACGCAACAGGAAACATTTGTGCAACATATAGGCAGGAAGAAATGGAGATTGATTGGCTGGCCATACTCTGAGGAAACAAGCCATCAAGTGACATCACTAGACAAGCCATCACTTGAGTGGAACCCGTAAGGGAAGCGGAGAGTTAGTTGGTCGTCAGCGTGAGGGTGACTTGGAGGAGGTGATGTGAAGAGGAGATGAAAGCATGTGCGCAGACTTGGAGCTATGTGAAAACTCTAGCAGAGAACCGAACGCAAAGGAGACGTGTGGCTGAAGCCCTATGTTCCTCTAGGAATTAAAAGAAAATCGTAGTAATAATAATTCACTAGTTCTGTCTCCTTTTAACGGTAATGTCATATATGTTTCTTCTAAAGAGTTTGCTGGCGTTTCCTACCATCTGTTTTGACGATAGAAACTTTAAAATGTTTTTTTAGATATCCATTCTCATGCAATAAGTTTTCCATCTTCCTTAATTCATCGTCAAGAATTCCGGTTATGAGAAAACTTTCCCAGCACGAAACATCACTGTACTAATAAGATATTGTTTGTAATGGAAGAGGAACCAATGACCTGAAAAAGGGGCATATTGGCCAACCCATGATGTTTTCCAAATAACTAACTCCTCTTATAGTGCACTCCCATAGAGTGCCTTCTTTGTTGGTGAGAGGACATCAAAAGTAGATGATCAGGTATCGCCCTTTTCGTGTTCAATATATATATATATATATATATATATATATATATATATGAAGTCAAATGGTAAGAGTGGAGAGAACACACTATCAATGAATTATTTTCGCTTTTTCTTTTTTGTTCCCTAGTGTGGTGGAAAAGACTTACTTCTTCGAAGTTGGCGTGACCTGTCTGAACACATCACACTAATGGTGAGTATAATATTTGTTAGTATTCAATATAAATTTTATTGAGAATGCAAAAAGAGACTAGCAACTTACTCTGTGGTAAAATAAATGATGTTTATTCAAATTTTTTACAGCTACAGTCGAAGTGACACAAAATTGTCAGTTTCGGGCTGATTTGAGAACGAAGTTATCCAGCGGTCTCCTCTGAGTGTCTTCAATCCACCTTCATTTTCTTCAAAATATCTGTTGGGCAATAGGTTCCTGGTTTTTTCACTCCTTGTCAGAGTTCCTTTTTGTTAAACCTATCTTATCGGCAGTCTGATCTTAGGTAGGAAATGAAGGCAGCTGTGAATGAAATTCTGAAGCCTGTTGTAAATGCCTAACGTCATAAACACGTCATGTTTCTCAACCATTTAGAAGAACCGATTTCGACATTATACTTTATGCTAACTTTAGTAGATTTCCCTGCTGAAGTGATAATGATGAACGCCTATTTAGCTTTTTCGATTTTGGCTGGCTTTAACACCCTCATCTTTACCGCCATCTGTAGTTGTACTTCACTTACCAGGTCGGGTAAGTGAAGGGAGTGACATCTTTCAGATTTCCCTTCTTGGTAGTGATTAGTGCTCTTTTTTGTTGAGTATATATATGTATGGTGAAATGGCAGACCCCTCCATAAAATACTTTTATCGCTATTTACTGTGTTTTGTAGACAAGAACAGGTTTTCATTCACCACAACGAGAACATCATACAGGCAATGAACAATAAAACAGCTCATGCTCAATAATATTGTTTCCTTTAGTTCCTAGAGGAACATAGGGATTCGGCCGCACCTCTCCATTGTGTTTGGTTCTCCGCCAACATTTTCACCTGCCTCCACGTCTGCCCACATGCTTTCATTTCCTCTTCACATGACCCTTGCACTGCCGATCAACTCGCCGCTTCTCCTTCGGGTTCTACTCTAGCGATGTTTGGTGTGTGATGTCACTTGATGGTTTTGTCAGAGTATAGTCAATCCGGCCCCATTTCTTATTGCATATTTGTTGCACTATTCGTTCCTCCAAGGTTGGTTCGCTGTCACAGATTCCTCACTATTGCTGATCTTTTCTTGCCGGCCATCTGATCTTGAGCAGCGTTGAGCGAAAACAGATGTTGATGAAGGTCTGTGGATCGTTCGAAGTGTCCTTTGTGACGCGGCGCCAAGTCTCTGATCCGTATAGTAAGTAGCACTGACTTCACATTTGAGTTGAAATTCTTATTTTCCACGCTGAGTGCTGTTGATCTCCACACAAACTTGAGAGTAATGAAAGCTTGCTTTGCTCTCCCCATTCTTGCTTTGATATCCTCGTCAGTTCCGTCCACCTCTAGTTGAAACGATGCTTCCCAGTTCGGTGGGTAGGTGAAGGAGGTTCCTTCTCTCAGATTCCTCCCACTCATGCTGGCTGATTGTTGTCTGTCGTTGATGTTGCTGTTGCTGTTGGCCAGGAATCTTCATCACCTCTTTCTATTTTCTCTATGTTCACCTGAAATTTTATCTTCTCTGGATGCTTCTTCTATCGCCAACTTGTTGCTTTTCACTTGTATATCTTCCAGTTTGTGTGAAATCAGACAAATATCACCGGTGAAGTCAAGACCGTCCAAGTATTTTGTGTGGCTTCATTTTATGCCTGTTTTCTTTCTGCTCGCTGTCTGTCGCATATTGTTCAATATGCTACTTATTAATAACAAGGACTGCTAAGTTAGGTCAGACGCGAAACCTAGATGTGGGGTTTCTTCCTAATGATCTTTAAGTAACTAATTATTCTACATACTACTGACTGACTAACTGACTGCTTGAGTGGAACAGAGCTTGTTAGCCAGCAGCAGGTTATCCAAGTAAGCTAAACACCAGATTGTCGTTTCGTTTATTTGAGATCAAGTTCTTCAGAGGTATAATCGTTTTGACTCAGCTAACAAAATTGAATCAGTTGAAACTGCCCAGGTTCAGCTAATTAATTATTCGTCGTACAGTCAAACAGCCACACGGCAGAGATACATGTTTCTTATTCTTCTTTTTATACAGCTCATAATCAGTTTCACTAGAGATAGATGAATTAAAAATAGAATTCATGTGTATAAACTGAAGTAGCATCAGAGTGTACAAAGAATGCTAATAAATTAAATGAACTGTTAATGTCACTAATATTAACTTGGAAACTGCTTCAGAACTAAGGAGGGCGATGACTCAAACCTTTATCATGCCAAGTGATTAACTACGGAAAGTCTACCCAAGCCTTTGAGGCGAAAAAAAGGGCATGCTGTCGACTACATTACGTTAAGACTGTGATGGAGTGAAATATCCAGCTTACAGTGGGAAGTGAGATGGCACTAAATGATCCGTACCTTGTGGATGATTTATGCCTACTTTCCTACAAACTCGAAGATATACAGAGGAAAACCAACAAGTTGACAGAAGAGACTGGCAATGAAGTCAGGACTTCAAGTGAACCGAGAGAGGAGACAGAGGTGATGTAGACGCCCAATCAACAACAGTAACAACACGAAGCACTAGCCACCATTAGCGGAAGAGGTCTGAAAGAAGTCAACTCTAGGCAGCATAGTTTCAACAACAGGCGTATGGCACGGGTGATGATTTCAAGTGCGGGAGTGTCAAAGCAAGACAGGTGTGTAAATATTCTGCGCTCAGTGTAAAGAACAATATTTGGATTTTCGACACTATTGTCAAGTCAATTAGGTTTTCTACGTGGTTTAAAAACTTAGTACGCACATCACGAAAAGCAATTCCAAAAGTCTACTCTAGGCTCACTTCAGTAACTGTTTCCGTTGAATACTGAGGACCAGGCGGCCAAACAGAAAAGTTTAGCAGCTGTTATCAAAGTCCTTATTTTTTGTGTCTATCCACCTAGTATGATGACAAATACTCACTAATGACAGTGGCTGACTGCTGTACTAAACAACAAATCTAAAGAAGCCAGAAGTCATGGATTATTGAATTCCAAGATAACCAGATTATCGAGGTAATCTAATCACTGGACGACTCTTTTGTTTGTTTAGAGGGCAGAATTCGCGAGTGGTCTACTCTCAATATGACTTAGCTCAGAGAGTCAAATCACTTGAAACCATCTAAAAACTGGTTAGTTAGCTCGTTGCTTGGGCAAAATGATAATGGATTGAAACGAATTACCAGCTTACAACTTGTACTTTACACAGTTTACTTTGAAATTCTGATCAAGTAGGTATATCCTGTAAAACTAGTTATTCGTCTAAAAAACTTCGCTAACCATTAATCATTTTTTACCGAGTAGTGTTTTGCCCATTTATTTGTTTATAAAAAGTAAGTGATCCGTTTTGCACTGCAGAGGTACTTCTATTTTCTTCCTCTTCGGCATTACGTGCAGAAATAACCATGCGGGAATCGATGAAGTGTTAAATGTGAACAGATATTCTATCTGCTTTTTTTGTTTTTTTTTTTTCACTTATTTGCTAGTAATTTAATTATTTGTCATATGAAGTTAAGCTTAAATGCAAAAACTTTGAAACTACACATTTATTTTCCTATACACATCCCCCTTTACTGCTCCCCATTAATCTTTCCTGGACTACTTAAGAAAGACTTTGCTTTGCTGAGAAGGGCACTAAAAGCCGTTAGTAGGGCAAGTGGGATATCGTTAAACCAACTGGTTAACACTATTGTGGATAGACATATAATGTCGTGTAAGAAACTAGCGAATACAATATTGTCAAACCCCGAGGATCCTCTCTATACGCAGCTGTCTCCTTGCATTTCATCTGGTAGAACTAGAAGCAGCTATAGGAGGAGGCTATATGCTAGGACTACCAAATACAAAAACTCCACAATACCATATCTGGCACAGCTGTTATGCGACGAGAAATCCGTTAGGTATGACACGATCAACTTACTGAGGCACTCTAACAAATAGTCCCATTAGTTTTTGTTTTCCTTTCCTCGTTACTACTACACTGCTGTTCTCATCTTCTATCATATATCAACTTTATATTTCATATCCTGTGGTGCATTGTTTGAAATGTAAACGCTACGCTGTTTTTTATTTTTGTTTATCTTTTATTTTTTGGCGTTGTTTTTTTTTATTTTTTATTTATTTATCTATTTTTTTTATTTTAAAAATCTTATAAAATTTATGAGGTAATTAGATGCAATATATTGTAATGCACGCTGAAAATTCCATACCTGTACCACAAATACCGTTTGGAATAAAGCTGTTAATATTAGTATTATTATTTCCTACTTTCCACTTCTTTCTTTCTTTCCTTTTGTTTTCGTATAATCACAGTGTGACGACGAAGATTTAACGCCACTTATTCGTAGTTTAAAACCTCATTGTATTTTGTTTCTTAATATTCCAAGGTAAGTAAAATAATAATTAAGCCTTTGAAATATATAAACAATAATGTGATTTGCTTAATGTTTTGACTTACAGTCGAATCTAATAGACACAAGCCCTATTTGCGACTTGTCATCTAGGTCGTATCAGGGATTGATGAAGCTCCCAAAGGAACTTTTGCCCAGCAGCCATAATTTCTCAAGATAATGCATTATCTAAAGGGCTACGAGAGTCAACTGTTGCCTGATGGGTATTAATTCTACGAGTTTGCCTTGTAACCGGAAGGCCCTGGGTTCAAACCCTGGTGATGGATGACATTGCTGAAGGGTCCCAAACTAGGACGAAACATGTGCTCAGTAGTCCAATGCTGGTTTTCCAATGCTTCAATAACTGATGTAAGCTCATCATGAAGTTCTGTAACTAGTTCTCACTTGCTGCGATTAATTGTTATTATGAATTTCTAGTTGTTGGGTTTTCATGTAACCGGAGTGCTTAGTCAAATAATAATAAAAATAATGGTAATTTCATTAAATAATCATGCATTTATTTTTTATTTGATTCCGAATAAAATGTGTTGCCTGAAGCTTGAGTTTCGAAATTTCAGTGACAGTGGTGTTCATTTTTAGCGGGATGAGGTTGCTAGTGCCACGCCCAACCTTCTTTCTTTACTGGGCATACTACGAGCTAAGCGACGTTTAGTTGTGTGTCGGCGACAGGGACTTGAACCCCGGACGACTTACATAATTATTGAACATTCTAGAGCTGAACCGTTTTTTTAATCCCTTACTTTCCAAGTGGAGCATAGAGGGCTTCAAGCTAGAGCTTACAAGTTTCGGTAGCAGTTTTATTTATTTTTACGGGATGGAGCTGCTAACCTCATGCCCAACCTTCCCACTTTACCAGTCTTATTACTGGCTTAGTGAGGTAAAGGAGGAGTTCGTCAGCCGGGTATCGAACTCTGGACCACTTGTGTGGTTGGCGAGCATTCTACTGCTGTGCCACGGACACACAACTGAACCATAGACCTGTTTAATTCTTTATTTGGACTTCGAGTTATCAGCTACTCATTGTATTTGTGTATTATTCAATCATTATAGTTACTAGGTAGACTCCATGAAGTTCTAATACGAAGTCATGGCCGATGAGATCTACTGTATCAGGATGAAGTGAATCCTCATCGGTAGCATCTGTTAGAATTAGCTCTATGCCACCAGTCGGCAGAAATAAGAATTATGAGGTCATTGAAGGTGCTGGATTTGACCGCTGGTTGGGATTATGAGTGCCACATAGCCACCACATAGGAGTGGAAAAAACACTTGGATGAAACAGCTACCAGTGCTTCCTGATCCTCAACGATTCTCTCACTGATTTTGGTTCTTGGGGAAACCCAGGCTGTATTTATTTCCGAATCCCCATAAAACCCGTCGTGGAAATTTGCGATGAAATTCTAGAAACTTACTTTACTTGACTCCTCTGAATAATTATTTGTTACTTCCCTTTTAATTCTGCGCCAAGTTAAACTTTAGGCACCAGTAAGTATCCAGTGGAGTGCGATCGCACACCAATGACCTTGAAACGCTCAGGTCAACCCAATGAAGGAGATATTCGTGTTCGTTGTAGGTAGATGAGGGTTAGCTTAGGGAAACTTTCACGTTAGAGTAAGTTTAAGAAAAGATTACGGTTACTATCAGGCTAAGAAGACTCAGAATGGGATTAAACTGCTCTGTTGACAGTCGAATCACAAAAATGAGAGGCACTTTTGTCACAAGTCAGAGAACGATATCATGCGTAACATTTTCATGCTGTTCAATGGATTTTTTTCATGAATATATATTTTCTTTTATACATAAAAATCACCTTTATCAAGTGGTTAGTGTGTTTGAGGTCATTTGTCCATTGGTACTTACTGGCGCTGAAAGTTAAACTTCTCCTAATTCTGAATTAGAATCGATAAGAAACGATAACAGAAATAAGTAAGGTAAAAGCTTTTTTATACAGAAATCGCCATATGATGCTAATGATAGAAGTAGCTTGCAGATCTATTGAACTATTCCATCAATCAAGTTCACAGCGTGATCACTAGACTAAGAATACATCAATACACTATAACTCTTTCTGACAGTCTATTTTATGATACTCAAGACCTAAAAGTTTCATTTTCCATTATTAGGTGAATATTTCAATTACTGGAATTTTGTGGAAATTTAGGTTAATTTTGATGTCGAATTCTTGATGAACCGACATCATTTAGAAATCACTTAAAACTGAGGATCACTGGACAGGGGAAATTAAGCAGATAAAAAGCTCGATCCTATCATACATGGTCGATGCTAGACATCGCATTGATGCCAACACAACTTCCAGGGTTATATACCACGTACAGTTCACTTACGTCTCCTACACCTACCCGAAGCTGTTGCAATAAGATTGACTAAATGGGAACTTTGTATCTAAAAAGAACATATCCAGATCCTGTTCCTACTGTAACCAAACTTGGATTAATGATTCTTCTTCTCACCAAGAGTGTTTCTTCCCCTTAACTCTCTTTTTTTTGTTGCTTGCTATTACAATTATTATTATTCGTTATAATTTATACCCTTTATTTAAACGTTCAAATTTTCTATTTATACTATCCGGACTTATTATCAGTGACAGTATCTCTTTTCTCAATGTATGCCTCCACTGATTTCATTTCAAACATTGGTTATTTCCTTACGAACTTGCTATTGCAGTCTTACGACCTCCTCTTTAATACATACCAACTTTGTACTAGCTACTCGCCTGACACCTTTTATAACCTTGAACTGACTTGTCAATTTTTCCTAGCCCAGATTCTGTGAATCTATTATGTTTAATCACCACCAATGTCTCCCACTTCACAATATTTTTTAATCGATTTCAGCCAACTAGCACGTTTGTCACACAAATACGACTATTTATTTTGACACCCCATAACTAATCTGTTATTCTACGTAAAAAAAATGCATCCACCGTATAACTGGGTATTCCTGTAACAACAACGAATATTACATTTTATAACTGTAAGAACCTGAAGAGAAGGATGTATTGAAAAGAATATTTTTTGTTCAAATTGACTTTTAATCACTTATAATGCTTATATTTAGTCGTCTATCAGTGCAAGGAGATTGCAAAAATACGTATGAAATTACATATATACATGTACCTATATACTGATATAGATGTAGAATGCATTGTGAATTTCCTGCTGATTGATTTTAAGGAACCGAATTAAATGATCTCTGTCGTCATATAAGCGCCTAGTATGAATCTATCGATAATGGCAGTTGGTTAGTTGGAGATTATTTGACTTATAGTGGTTCACAGTGAAACCTGTACCTTTGCGTTTCGCTCGTCAACCAGATAAACTCTTATCCCTTTGAACTCAACATCAAAACACCGTCTACTAGGATATTGAGTTATGAATATCAGTTTTTATTTATTTAAATGTGTTTTAACTTCCATTTAGTTGATTTTAATGAGCTATGGCTCTTTGACGTTTGAAATATCACCACTCATCTGAATAAGAGTATCTCCAGTTAATGAATCCTAAGTATGATGAGACTGGCGTGATGGATTCCACAGATAGCTACTATCAACTAAATTATATGCTGGTTGCAGGATTTAATCATGAGCTGACATCAGTTAGAGAATCACTGGAAAGCCAGCACTGGAATACTGGACAGCTGTTTTGTCCACCTAGTTTAGGACCCTTCAGGAGCAGCAGGTTTGAGTTGGGGACTTTCTGGTTATAAGGCCAGCTAGTAGACCATTCAGCCACTGGGACCTGATCCAATGACCAACCTGTGAATCCCAACTTCTGCCGATTCAAGATATAGCGTGACTGGCATCAGCCATTGTCATCGCTGGCGAGTATTTGTCTTCACACCCGTCCTTCTGTACCCTGCTGTTCATCTACTGAGAAAAAATTGTCACTCATACTGTTAACCTCATTTATTATGTTAAAGAAAACTTGCTTTGACCAAAGAAATGTATCCTTTGATTCTACTTTAAGGTCAATATGCTAATTACCAATAGGTATTATTTTTTCGCTTACACTATTATATTCTACTGGCAGATATGGATCGGGTACATTGCCTTGGGGTAATCCTGCTGCAGAATTTCAACCTCAAAGAATTGATGATGGCTATATTGAAGTTATTGGTCTTACATCGACAACACTGGTAAGTTAATTAGCATATTTTCGCCTTTATTTTACTTCGTTTTCTTCTTATAGACCAATAAATTAGATATTAACATTGCTTAAGAGTAATGATAAGCTACAGGAGTTTTGCCTAAATACAGAACTATATTGACACTGTACATAACGTTTACTTAATTCAGAAAGGGAAAGAATATACACAGTATAATTTAAGCTCTAGGATAATATTAAGTATTTTCACGTGATAATATGATTGTGATTAGCCATCTGCTTGAATTACTGGGCTACTAAATTTTCCATCTATCAAAATACATCAAATTTACTCCAGTATCAATGTGTTTGAATTATTCAACTACCTCTTTGAGTTACAGTGTCTACTCATGCTCTTATTTAAAACAAGTTCCAGTCTAATTCTACTACTCCAACTACTACCGAATTTCTGAACGAAACAAAGGAAAAGTATCGCAGGTTATTGAAGAGTGAACTTTGGATAGAACAAGACTTCCACAGAAAGCAAAGAAATAGACTCACATTACACTAATTAGTGTCATATTACAGCATGAGGGTGATACGGATTGGGATCTCAGGAGAGACATGACTTCCTTCAAGACATTGCAGATACGCATTGATGACTAGTGAGTGCCAGCAAGCCAAAAACCCAAGTGTTAGCCAGGGCTTCTTGTTGACTATCTCCAACCACCAATTAATAGGCGATAATCGGATATTAGTGATGGTTAAACTCACCTGCCTGTGATTCGCAGACAGTCATCGAAATGTTTCGATAGATGAGTGAGATGTAAAAACTCAAGTAGCTAGTGATTCTATTTTAAAATAAACCGCTAGGACTGAGAAATCAAGCATTAGTTAACTGCATTCTAGCACAACTCAGATCTCTATGTCATGAATCTTTAAATAATAAAATTTTGAATAAGTTTTAATATGTCCATATGGTGGACCCTACTCTTCGTGGAGTCGATGCTCATTAAATGGAGTTTAGCGCGCTATATCACGAACTGATTACAGTGATTTGATCGCGAGTTGATATCAGTCTGAGAACCACTGGTAAACCAGCAGGTGGAGTACCGGACAGCTGTTTCGTCCTTGTTTGGGACTCTTCATCCAGTAGGCACCCACCGCCAGGGTTCGAACCCGGCACTTTTCGATCACAAAGTGAACTCATAAACTATTCAGCCATCTGGCACTCCCAGATTTTCCAATAGTTATCTACCAAATATCAATTCATGAGCAAACCTGTGACCAATCAAATTCTTGCAAACCAGAACTTGATAATACCAGAAATTAGACCAAATGGTCAACAAGCTTGGTGGCGTATCCTGAAGGTCCAAAATATGATCCCTGGTGAAGTTCTGGGTATGTGCTGATTAACAGCCTAGAGCTGTGATGAAACAGCTGCCTAGAGTTTCGAGACATGATGAAGACAAGAGATAAAGCAGTTAGGACTAATAAGATGGAGACAGAATTCCAACAAAAATATTGGAGTGAAAAAATCCAGGATACTGTGAATCGTTTCCGGTGATCATTAAGCACCGAACAGCCTATCTACGTGTTCTTATTTCGACTTAAAATTTACTTAATGTTTTTTTTTGAATATTATTTTGCTTCATAATTCTTTAACTTCATAAAAATAAAGGCTTGATTCAATTGATATTTCATAGTGATGCAAGTGATGACAAGAAATTTGTTGGTGTTGTCAACCACTAATGTAACCAACTTCTCTGACCTTGTACTCATCAGTACACAAACCAAGTTTTTTTACACTACAGGATAGATCACGGGCTGAGATCGTTCAGAGAACCATTGAAAGCCACCAAGGAGTACTAGGCAGCGGTTCCGTTAGCAGTGCCACCCGACGCCGGTGTTCGAACCCAGAACATTTCGGTTACAAGGTGAGCTCGTAAACCATTCAACTACAGGAACCCGAAGCAACAGTCCATGGAATCTAGCTTCTGCCAATAAAACGATATATATATTTAGCTCAGCTGACAGCTAATATCACAAGCGAGTAACTGTCTACTTATCTGACTTCGTGGACCTCCCTGGTTTTACCATTTCTCACTAGGACCCCAGTTAACTTCCTGTAATGCACTAGTCGCTAGTGAGCATCTGGTTAACGATCAAGTGTTGATTTGTAGGGTTTTCAATTAATTTACATTCTCCACTAATGACATTCTAGACCGAATAGTTCTCCGTCTCATGTCAGAATGAACTTTTATCATGATCTTTGTAACCTGCAAGGGATAATTCAATCTTTGAAGTACTCATATTTTATTGTGTAGGGATGAAGTGAGAACCGTTAAAACCCAAAGTATGCCAAGTATTATTTTCACTTAAATATAATGTCTCTTTTGAAGTTTCTTATCATTCTTAATCAACTGGCGTGCAGCCACGGCACATTGATATAAAAAGATTGATTTTGGCACTATCTCAAGATCGACTAAAAATATCCTTAAAGCAATATTCCTTTTCTGACATTCCTTTACACAAGAACATTTAAACTACTGTGTAAATTTTAGTAGAATGCAAATGATAGTTAAAACAGAAAAACAAATTACTTTCAGGGTTTAAAATCAGACACTTATATCATTGGTATTCTTGTTCCTTTGGGTTGCAAGTGGAACATAAGGCTACACCAGCAAATCTCTACTTCGTCATCTTCTCTAAAGTCCTTTTTAGCTAGCCCCATGATTGCTGGTACTCTCTGATTTCCTCTTGTTATGACCTCCTCTGTATCCCCTTTAATACCAGGCCGAAGTCATCGTTTCCCCTTGAAGTTCTAATCCAGAGATGACACGTCACGAGATGTCATTTAACAATGTCTTCATAATGGGCCCAATCCATTCCCATTTCCTTGGACATATTTGCTGAGCATAAGGTTCTTGATTTGTTGGTTCCCAAAGTTTCCTGCAAACAATTCTTTCTGGCCAGCCATCTAGTCTGCCCTATGAAGATAGTGGAGACAACTGTTTAGTAAAATCTGTAGTATATTTATTTTTATTTTTTTCCTTCACGTTTCCAGTGGAACATAGGGCTTCAAGCTAGTGGCTTGGAGATTCTGTAGCAGTGTTTGTTTTTACAGGATGAGATTGTTAGCCTCATGCCCAACCTTTCCTCTTTACCAGCATTATATCTCGCTTAGCGAGATAAAGGTGTGCGTCGGCCGGGGACCGAACTCCGGACCATATGCATGGTCGTCAAGCGTCCTAACCGCTATACCACCGATGCACAAATCTCTAGTACCCCGTTGGAAATTCTTTTCATGAAACATAGATCAAATTTCTAACTTCACATAAATACTAAAAATTCGAATGTTGTTCCTTGTGCTGAGTGCAGAAGATCTCCAAACTGGAGTTTCTGAGTGATGAATATGTCTTGCCTCTCAACTACGTCACCGTCTCCAGTTGAAACCATGTTATCTAGATAAGTCGACGGAGTGACCTCTTTCAAATTTATTCCACTGATGGTAATTAGTACTTGTTATTCGTGGTTGCTTATCTTCATCACATGTGTCTTGATGTCCTCATTCGTTCCAGGTGTAGTTAGAATGACGCTGCCTTCTTTAGGTTCAGTAGGAATAATTTTTTTATTTGAAAAATACCTAGATCAGGCATATTTTTCAGCCATTTATTAGGTGAAGACTAGAAATGAATTCCAAGATTCAAGACTTAAATTTACGAAGATATTCAGCTGATGAATTATCATTCTCCACTCCAGCATCTATCACTGTATACACCAGTTAAAATCCATACTGACGTCTACAATAAAGACATTCTGTGGTGAGAGCAGGCTGCTAGCCGATTGGCAGACATTAATTTACGCCAATGTCTATGTCACTGTTGCCTGGCCCTTGTCTTCTGTTGTTACAATTCTCTTTTTAGAATTTGAGATAAACTCACAAATAGGGAGCATTAAACAACTGTTTCGTTAGGAGGGGGGCGGGGGTTAAGGACTCTTCGAAAACAGGAATGAATTCCTCTCAAACACAATAATATCTAAAACCAAATTACCACTTCAAGCCAAAACAAAAACGATATCAGATAGACGAACACAATAAATATCCCTCTATAGACCATAAAACCATAAATACACTCAACGTTCCACCTGTCACATACAGTCATCTGTAATCAAGCATAAACATTTCAAAAGTTGGTCAGCTGACAATTTATTCTCCTATTTTAATAAATAAACTCTAGAATAATAAAAATATATATATTCTCTTCATAAACGATAAGAAGAAAAGGAAAGGAATTGTTATGCAACATTGTATAACCTAACGTCAATCTTAGAAGTCAACTGAACTCAACCCTGAAATTTCATTCATACATGAAATTACTCTAGTAAATCATAATAAAATTAATAAAGTAACCACATTTACCAATGAGTACCACTCACTTGTCAAACAATATATATACAAAATAATCTAAGCTATTTTATTCTGTTGAATGTATATATATATATTTCAACTTTGAAACAATATTTCACCGGAAAAGCTTGACTTGATATCTGTCTGTCTGTCTGTCTGTCTGTCTGTCTGTTTTCGACATAGAACTTTGCACAAATGTGCGCCAGTTCAAGTCGCCACATTCTGTGTAGCACGCGAAGCAAGAGAAGAAAGTACAAGAAAAGCATAATAGAAACAGTGAGCAGAGGTGTGAGACAAAGAAGTAATAAAGAAATACAAAACAGTTTCATTGAAGATCATAAGTCACAGGGAGTGGATGCATCTGCGCCACTGAGAACGATTTTGACCCATGTCACCAATTGTTTCCAACCATAGATTTTTACCGTCCCGAGGACCCCAGCCTGGAAGTCTACACCTTCCTACGTGGCTTAGACCAACTGTTGTGGATTTCACTGACTGATGCCAAGTTTTTGTTTGACCGCCGCTAGCTTTTTTCCAGCCTGACCCTATATCCGCTAACATTGCTCGTCGAGGGAGGCGATGGCTTGGCATACGTAACACATGTCCTAACCATCTCAGTCTTTGTAGCTTCACGACTTCGTCGATTGATTTCCCCTGTCTACCTAGAACTCGACGCCTAACCTTGATATGTTGACAAGTCGTTGTGCTTTACACTGCTCTCCACTATTAAATGTTTCAAAACTCTGACAGTTTGAATATTCAAAACTGATATATATATATATATATATATTGTGTTATTATATTTAATTTAGGCAACATTACAAATAGGCGGTCATGGTGAACGAATCTGTCAATGTCAACGTATCCGACTAACAACTGATAAAGTTATCCCTATGCAAATGGATGGTGAACCATGTCGTCTTGTACCGGCTAACATTGAAGTATTCTGTTCACATCAAGCTTTAGTAATACAAAAGTTAACACGTTCTCCAGGATCTAATGCAATAATGAATGAGTAAGATTATTTTTTTTCTTATTTTTTCTTTTTTGTTCGTTCCAATTCATTTACGTGCATAGTAGGATTTTTATGCAATGACTCAGTAAGCTTCATACCGCTGGAAAGTTATTTTATGACACACAAGCACACATACACTGTGAGTTTTATCTTTTTTTGGGTTCAGTTCTGTTAAGATGAATAGGAGGTAATCTCCAAGGATTTACTCTAGTTTAATGTTTAGAGATTTTATTATTATTATTGCTTCACCCTGTTCTATGCAGCTCCACAATTATCCGTAAGCTTTGATCTTCTCCTAACACCGTCTTCTTCATGTCAGTGTCTGGCGCCCAACCCATGGCTTCTTATTCTAGTTCCACTCAGGCGGCCTGTCTACAGTGTGATTTCTCTCAATGATCTCCCCAATGTGTATTCAGTTCATCATCACTTCTCTCGGCATATTTGTTAGGCGATAGATTCTCAATTTGCTCATCCCTAGCTCTATTTATTTGTTACTAATCCGTTTTAGCCGACTATCCAATCTTTAGAATTAAGCCAGCTACTGTTGATAAAAGTCTCTACTAGCCTGCTCAAAATGCTCTTGGTGACGTGTTCAACAAGTCTCGGAACCAGCATAGAAGTTCTGACTTAAAATTACCGTTGAAGATCCAGATCTTGTTCCCTATGCCGAGTGCATCAGATTTCCTCATTTACTTTACTTTACTTTACTTCGGCTATCTCCTACGGAGGATGAACCGGCTTCATGAACATCTCGAATGTTTGTAAGAGAGTTGATGAAGTTTCATGGGAATTGGGTACGAGTGATGTCCCCAGCATCGCTCGGCTCATTGATTTTACAACAATAAAGTTCTGTCTTGTTTTGACCATCCGCTATTCGATGTCCTCATGTGTGTCACGTCCATAACTGAAATGATGCTACTCAGGCAAATAAGTGAAAGTTGGTGATGACTGATACTTGTTGTTTATAGTTAGCCCTCCTCATCACCTCTGCCTTCTCAATGGTCACTTTAAGTCCTGTCTTTGGTGGTTCTTCTGTCAAAGTGTTACTTTTCCCTTTGTAAAGCTTCACGTTTATGCGATATTAGACATGGATCTTCCGCAAAGCCCTGATCTTCTAGCATCTTCTTACCAGTAGATATTTTTAATTGGCTAGAAATCTATCAGCAATCACTTTACCACTAGCTGTAGAATTCATTTAGGAGTTGCCACTTCTGTGCGTCGGTGGCACAGTGGTTAGGACTCCCGGCGACCATGCACATGGTTCGGGGTTCGAGCCCGCGCCGACGCACACCTGATATCTATGGTCGGCCTGCGAATTTTGGGCTACCGATATCCACGTTGAAAATTCCACACCTGTACCAAAAAAAATACGGTGTGGAATCAAGCTGTATTCAAAAATAAAAAAATAAAAAATATCCCATTTGTATACTTGTATGTTTGGTTGCCTTCTTTATCGTTATATAATGAATGCTTATTTAACTTTAATCATTTGACCGGGTAGGCGATTGTCAACTTACAGATCGATGCTTTCCAGCCTGGTCCTATTCCAGGCCGACACCACAACACTAAACCCGACTCAGCTGGTGATAAACAGCTCCCAGTAAACAGTAAAAGTTTAATGTCAGACTGACAACTCTAGCCTGTGAAAAGAAAAACCACTGCTACTGAAACTTTAAGGCTGGAGCCTGCAGTTCTACAGAGCACAAAGGAGTGGGGTAAAAAAGACTAATAAGTCATATATAGTGTGGGATAGCATGATATTTTTGTTTCTGTGACTGTTGTTACTACATTTATTCTGTAATTTACTTACTTTAGACTGCTTCAGAGTTAAGGTTGCCCAGTTGCTGTATGCTCCGGAGTATCTCAAGACTAAGATTTATTTAAATCTTGAGTGTAACTAGAAAGCGTTATTAAATGCAACCTAAGAGAAGTGCTCTAATTTTGTCGCTTTCATAAATAAATCCTCTTAAGAGAATTGTCTTGTAGTGATGTTATAAATAATATTAAACTTATTCTCTGTCAGTGGAGGAGAAGAGATAGGATACTTTAGACTACTATATAGTAAATTCTAGGTTATATGTTAGTGGTTCCTGTTTGTCATAGAAACAGTACATCATGTGGATAAATTTTAGAAAATGAAAACTCCTAGACATCAGATATGTTCTACATTTGAACTAATCAAAAGTTCCTACCCATGAATTAATGCTAGATAGTGCATCTATTGTATTCGTCAAGCGATAACCGCACAGGTATACTTCTCAGAAAAGAAAGCTGATTGAATTAACATACAGATTTAAAGCTTCGATAATTACTTACTATAATACCTTCCAGTGGTTCAAAAAAACCATCACTGAGTAAACACTTTTTATGAGATGTATGCATAAAGTACAGATAATTAGTGCTTAAAACAGTACACGCATACATATTCAGTGGTATTCTCCAACCGCCCCATCAGGGATCAAACCAATAACCTTTAGGTTGCGAGACAAGACCGTTAACCATTCAGCTACTGAGACGGAATCCAATGTCAGGTCAAATAATTCTGTCAACTTCTGTTAATTCTATGTCATTCAGTGTCATCAAGGAGTATTTGTCCTTACACTTGACCTAGTGGACCCCACTGGTTACAACTTCTACCTAGAACTCCAGATAACTTCGTCCTATAGATCGTCACTAGTAAGCATCAGATTAATTGTTACAAATGTTAGTTTGTAAAATTTCTAAAAGTAATTGTTTTTTGTCAATAATACTACTGTTATAACAAAGTAAGTAGTCTGTTATCTCTTTCGCTCTCCATACGTCATCTAAAACACAAAGAAGTGCATTTATGAAGTGAAAGACAGATAGACAAAGAGAGAGAGAGAGACTAACAGAGAGCAGACAAATGGTAGGTAGTAAAACAGAAGAGCATGTTTAGTAAGAATGAAAACGGTACAGCCCTCTAGTGCACTTTTCATACACACATATATATCTAAGCCTATCTAAAACATTCATTGTTAGCAGTTATGTTTTTAACTAGCATTCTATACTACATTATGTATTTCTGTGGAGATAACCGATTTTTGATGACACTTAAGAAATAACAAGTGATATTGTTGTCACAGTAATAATGAAAAGAAGAACAGTTTTACTGTTGTTAATCTACCAAAGAAATATGTATGCCCTTATCTGATATGTGAATATGCTAGTGAAAGTATGCAAAAGTGATATATATATATACATATATATATATATATATATATATATATATATATATATATATATATATATATATATATATATATGAGATTTCAACATGAGCTGACATTAGTTAGAGAACCATTAGAAACCAGGGAGTACTGGAGGGATGTTTCGTCCTAGTTTGGGACTCTTAATCAGTACGCTCCCACTCTCATGGTTCGAACCCAGGACCATTTGGTTACAAGGCGAGCTCGTAGACCACTCATCAGCCACTGGGACCCAATCCAATGACCCATGAATTCTGAATTCTGCCAATTCACGACATAGCGCGACCCCTAGCCAATGTCTTCGGCGAGTATTTATCTGCATGCCTGACCTGCTGGACCTTACTGGTCACGACTTCTAGCTAGGACCCTAGGTAACTACCTACCTGAATAGGGCAAGTCGCCAGTGAGCATCTCAGCGATATTTAAGTATTAGTTTGTAGGGATTTGGTTGATTGGTTACAGGATTTCATCATGAGCTGACATTGGTGAGAGAGTCATTGGAAAACCTGGGAGTACTGGACAGCTGTTTCCTCCTAGTGTGGGACTCTTCAGCAGTACTGCACCGGCTAGAGGTCACGCTATGTCGTGAATTCGCAGAAGTCGGAATTCATGGGCCATTGGATCGGGTCCCAGTGGTTGATGAGTGGTCTACGAGCTCGCTAGCCTTGTAATCAGAAGGTCCTGGGTTGGAACCATGGGGGTGGAGCGTACTGCTGAAGAGTCCCAAACTAGGCTGACGAAACAGCTGTCCAGTACTCCCTGGTGGATTTTCCAATGGTTCTCTAACTAATGTCAGCTCATGACGAAATCCTCCAACCAAGCAACTACAATCCCTACAAAATTAATTCTTTAACATTATCAATATCTTTACATAATCACAAAGAGAAACACCCGATTCAGAGACTGAGTAGGAACAAAGGCAAATATTAAGGATCCAATTAACACACCATATATAAATGTCAGGAGAATGATATACAGTCAGGGAGAAGAATGGATAATTATTATGAAGTCAGTTGGAACATCCACTTGTCTATCAGTACTATGATTAGATCATTCAGGAATTTCCAAAACAATCATTTCGTTATTAACACACACACACATACACTAACTTCAGTTGCTACTTCATCTTCTTTATACAATAACCCTCATTCCCAGATGTTTAAAAGTACAAAAATACTTTGAAATTTTTGATTTCATGTAGTCCAAGAATGATGACACCATCTTTCACATGTATGTAAAAACTGATTGCTTTTTTAAGCATGTGTTAAAAATCATATGGCAGTATCAGCTAGAAAAGCCATGCAAATTCAAATCTACTAGGAAGATGTTGCTGGTTAGTTTCTTCTTCTTATTACTATTATTATTATTATTATTACCTTGGGATCCATATGGAGCATAGGGCTTTGACAGAACATCTCCACTTTATCCTATTATCTGCAGTCCTTTTTAGCTGTCCCACGACTGCCTATAGGCCCTAGTCTCCTTCTCATATGATCTCTTCTATATCACCCTAGGACCAAAACCCAACTTGTCGTTTCCCATTCGATGAGTTATGTGGTAGTTTATAATTCTCGAGTTGTGTGCCGACACATACACATATATACACTACCTCAAAGTTATCTATTCAGGGTCAGGAAAACTTGAGCGCGCGCTTTTCGACTATTACGCTACATTTTGGTCATAAATAAAATATCTTATTACTCTAAAATTTTATGCAAAGTGTTTGCGGAAATTATCACAATTATTAACCTTTCGAACACTGAATCCAAAAAA